CAGGAACGGGTGCTTTCCCGTCGGATCATCCATTTTACCGCGGCGCACACATACTGCGAGTGTGGAGACGGAGTGCTGTGTGAACAGCTGACAAAACTGACCCCGTAAGTCCACAGAATTAAACATCACGTGTGCTACGAAGTCTGATCTCTCTCTCGGCTTTATGGGAAACAATACTTCATCCTCGATCCCTGCTTTCCGAGTAGACTCCGCGAGAGCGGGTATGTACGAACCGTCGAGTTCATCCAATTCCTCTTTGAGAGATATTCAACATCCGGCCTTAGCTATGCAACCGACAGGGATGTTGCGATTCACAGCCTGCTCAAGCATATGGGACAAGTACTACGGACTGACGGCAGATACGGCATCTTCCGTTGCTTCTTTGGTCACCTTCTCCTGTGGAGGCGAACTCCTGAGAACAAGACACCCCAAATTGACTACAAGAGATTTGTACCGTCATGGTCTTGGATGGCATATCCCGGAGGCATCAGTTTTATCTGCGAAGCGAGGAGGCGTCTAAAGGTTGCCCGCCTCGAGGACCTTGACTTTACCGACGAGGGAAAGGCGCTGAACGTCCAAGTGAGGAAGTTTGGTGGAAATTGCCGGATGGAAGACAAAGGGGAAATACATGCTATTGTCCACAGCACGGAGCAAGTAGGCTCTTTATGGTTTGATACAGCAGATCAGCCACGGCTCGAAGATTGTAACTGTGTTGTTGTTAGCATGCTTCAGGACGAGAAGGAAGACGCTTGGAAGACTTACCACGTTCTTGTTATTCAGGAGAAAGCAGGGGGCGGGGGATACAAAAGGCTAGGTGCTGCAGAGGTGCAGGCACAGTATGTCTCCAGCGATTGCGTTGCCGGCACACTTCGGTGAGGTTCTTCTTTCTTTTGGCTTGACATTTCCTAACGAGACCACGATGAATCGAGTTCGTCTTAGTTGAGAAATTTCAGTTTGTTCATAATTTCTACCTTCGTACGTAAGTGAAGCCACCAAACCAAAGAAAGAGCCGGTCCTCGATATTTTAGATCATACATGCCAAACGTCAACTCCCGTGTCGGCACCTCGCAGCATTTGAGCAATCCACAGTAGCACACGGCCATAGCTCATCATGTCATCAGACTCGGACGCGACCCTTGAACCCGAGAGCCCGTCCTCAACAGCAGCAGAGCACACCCCGCTAGAGCAAACCATCGACATTGATCCCGACGACGATCTTCTCCTGTGGGTCGGCTTGGACCTCGGCACCCCCTCCAACATCAGGGTCTGCTCCGCAACCATGCGCCAAGCTACCCCCGTCTGGAGAAGCATGTTGTTCGGCCCGTGGAAGGAGTCAAGGCCGGCACAGGGTGACTGGGTTGTCTCACTACCCGACGACTAGCCAAGTGCAATGCAAGTCCTTCCCACCATCGTTCATGGCGACCTTGGCAATGTCTCCCAATATGTGGAGATTGTCCAGCTCTACGATATCGTGATGCTCGTCGACAAGTACGGGCTGCACCGCGCGCTTAAGCCGTGGGTTCGTCCATGAGTGAATTCGGTTCAAGATCTGGCACCCAGTGTTTCGGACCATGAGCGACTCAAGAGGGCTCACGCAGCGTGGAAGCTTGGGAGTGATGAACTTCTCTCTGCCTCCATATGTGACCTCGTCTGGGGCATAAGTATGGAAGCTGGGGGGGACCGAGGTGCCGAGGCATCGTATTTGTACAAATTCGACGCCCTTTGAATTGTAGTGACCCGATAGAAGGTAATAAAAAATAAAAAAAAATAAAAAAGAGAACCAAGAATTCGGATCGCTCCTTAGCGAATGGGACTGAACAAACACATTACCTATCAGAAAGTCAACAATTAGGTTGATAGTCGAAATCTTTTCCCCTCTTCCTCTTGCCTAACACTTTTCGCTCCCTCGAGAGCTCGGCCATCGTCTGTCCATCGAACTTGTGCACCTCCGCAACATGGTCCATCCAGGCTGCCCGACTTTCGATCATGATCACACTATCGTCTCGCCTCCGGCACTCGAAGCATGCAAAAGATCCCTGAAAAAGATCCTTGTGCTCCTTGTTAAAATGTCGCGAAAAGCTGTTGCCTGGATAGAACATGTTTTCACGGACCAGGCAACGAGCAGATCTTGTTTTCGCAAGCTTTCTGCCTGGTCCCTGCTTCCGGCGGCTTTCGTTTGGCAGGCATGGCGTGAACATGATGCCGTGGCACCGCTCCACGTGATTGCTCCATTGCTCAACCCCTTCCACCATGTGCCTCTCTCTGCCCAAACGGTTGCACTCGGAGCACGGGAATGGACGGTCAAATGCCCCCTTGATATGATGGACATTCTGATTGTGCCTTGTATTCTAATGTTCCCCGTGTCTAACACTTCGGATAGGACGCAGTTGGACTTCTTCGTTCTCGCTCCAGGCTGTGGCTTGCGAAGCAGGATCCAGGGCGACCGCGCAAGAATCGACCGAACAATCTAAGTATGCGAGAGCGGCTTTCAGAGTTAGGCTATGAGGTTCGATGATGCGCCCGGACCCCGCTTAGCGATGATCTTCTAACTTATTCAGCAGACTAGCGGCCTCAATGTCATACACATAACCGGCACGAAAGGCAAAGGCAGTCCAGCTGCGTTTACAGACTCGCTCATACGTGCCCATTTCCACCGTCTGTCCCGTCCTGTTAAAGTCAGCCTATACACTTCGCCACACCTTATCACTGAGCGGGAGAGGATAAGGATCAACTTTGAGCCGCTCTCAGAAGATACGTTCGCACGCTACTTCTTCGTTGTATGGAACACATTACGCAAGAATGCCAGCGATGACGGGGACATGCCCGGGTACCTGCAACTATCAGCTTTGACGTCTGTGCATGCGTTCAGGGAGGAAGCTGTCGACGTGGCAATATACGAAGTTCACGCTGGTGGACGGAGAGATGCCACAAACATTTTCGAGCGACCTGTAGCATGCGGCTTCACCACAATTGGTATGGACCATGCCGACCTCCTTGGGGATACAATTCGAAGTATAACGTGACACAAGAGCGGCATCATGAAGCGCGGGCAGCCGGCATATTCGGTCATTCAAGAAGAACCTGTGGCAGAGGAAGTGCTTGAGAAGGAGGCCGCCAAACTGGACTGTCCACTCGAGTTTGTGGACACATACGCACACCTACCTGACCACCCCAGATTGCGCGTGCCGGCGCAGAAGCGGAATGCATCACTGGCTATCCGGTTAGCCAATGCATATCTTGGCAGTTACAATGACGAGCTTAGTTTAGATGATATCATAACCGGCACGAGTCGGTGTAACTGGCCTGGACGGTTCCAAACTATACAGAAAGGACCTCATCATTGGGCTTTAGATGTGGCGCACAATCCTCTCAGCCTTCCTGTCGCATTGGCAGTTCCGTCTGCAGGGCTTGTCAAGGGCTGGCCAAGCGCGCGTATGCACGGAGTTGATCATGGCTGACGGGTGCTGAGAATCCAGCCAATCAACCAAGCTTTCCATTGGAGATGTTGGAGAGATGGCTGGGGACAAGTCTCAGATCGCCAGGCTCGCACGCTTTACCGGATCTCATTCACAGGGCAAAAGGGCGGGAAGAGGAGGAAGGGATAAGTCAAGAAATGGGTTGACCTGCGTTGTTCTTCGAAACCCGGCCGAGCCACTCGATGTTGGGTGTCTCAGTGACTTGAAGAAGGCGTACGGTCGGAAACTCGAGGACTTTATCAGAGCGCATATCAATCACCCACCCAAGGTCGAGTTCCCCCTCGCCTTCAAAGCCACCCACTTTACCGCCATGACCGAGAGCAACGGCAAAGGGGGGTTCAGAGATGCAGGTCTAGTACTTTTGACCCCGACGCAGTGATATCTAAGCTGGATATCAAGTTACGGACGCCAACACCAACTGGACCCCTTTCGGCAGCTGCCGGTCCTTGGTTCTCCCAGAAGCCACAGAACCAAACAGAGGCTGTCTCGCAATCCGAATACATCAAAAACCGGATTGCCCGCCCCCAGGGAGGCTCGCCAACACCAATTCTCACTGCTGTCGACCAGCTTGCGAAAGCGACGTAGGCGTTGGCGCATTCGGAGACCCTCATGACCGCTGAGATACGTGCCTTACAGAAGGCAAATGAGGTACTTAGCAAGCGCCGGAGGGCTGGATGTATCGTGCAGTACTGACTTGCCTCACGGAGACATGCAAGACCAAGGAACATGGACGAGGACATGGCTGTGGCATCAACTTCGAAGTAATGATGGTGATATCCCGGCTGCTTGGAAAATGTACGATTAACGGAATGTAGCGCTTGCAGATCGAGATGACGAGGCTTGCGGTGATGCGAGTTGATTGGCGAACGGCCGCTCAGCTAAAGTCGTGGCTCCAATATCCTCGATGATGGGCCGCGAGAATCCTTCAGCAAAGTTGAATGCACCATCGGCCTCGGTGATCGTCACCATCTAAGCATCTTTTCAGGCTGACCGCTGCAATACTCGAAGCTAATGCCGCAGCTATGTCCTCGGCGCGCTGGTCGCAGCTGCTCCGCCTGCCCCGCAGCCGATCGTCGTCGACGGCACCCCGCCCGTCTCCACCAGCGGACGCATCTCCCGAAGCATCCGCAACCCAAGCGAGGACAACATCCGCTTCGCCTGCCGCAGTCTCCGAACCCTGTCCCCAGAGCTTGGAGATTGTTGCGGAGGGCATGGACCCTAGGGTAGAGTAAGCCGCCGCCTCTCCTCTACCCTCTCGGAGAGGCTCGCGCGTGAACTACACGTCTCGTGACTAGTGTCTCGCGTAAAAAAGAAAGAAAGAGAGAGAGTACCGATATAGATAGGGTCGAAGTTCTGACCTACTACTTCCCTTAATGGAAACTTATTGTGTAAAGCGGAGAAGCGGCTGATACGGGGTCGGTTGGCCGGACGGATGTAGTTGCAATTTGTGGGGAATGTCTGGGGATTGCGGATCGGCGGGGTGCCGTGACGGGAGGAGACCGGCCTTGCGGACTTGGAGTCTCGGGTTTGAAGAACACAGTGGGGCTACTTATCGTGGTCTCAATTGGATACAGTAGTGGGTCAAGTAGGGCCGGACAGATGGGTTGTGTTTTTGTGCTTCGCGCGACCAGGGGATGCAGCCCATAAACCGCGCGACTAGAAGTGGAGCATCTTCCCATTCAAAAAATCGGCTACCAAACAGATTAGGAAGTATGCATCGGCAGGTTGTGAAAGGCGGCCCTTCCGCTAAGCAGTCACACACTCTCATTCTAGATACCATACCTCAGAACGTTCTACACACATGTCTCATACCCCATCCAGCTCGCCTTCCAGACCGCCCATGACATGCCATTCATCATCCAACGGTCAGAATCAGGGAGACTCAGTCCTGGGTGCACGTTCCTCAATTTCCTCACAACCCCTGGGTGTATTGACCTCGCAACCCTACAAACTCAGACATCCCCGTCGCAACATCGATCTGGAATCGCCAGCTGCCCCTGTTGGAGGGATTGAGGATTCAGGCAATCGTAGCGGCGTTCAGGGGTCCAAACTTGAAGACGGCTCGGGCCGAAGCCGAAACAACCGTATACGGAGGGCACTAGGTATGTATCCGCTTGGTCTGTGCCTGTAGAGTAAAGATAAGAACTGGGTGGAAAGTAGTGTGGGGAATTCGCGTCTGCTCTAGCGGGGTGGGCCTTCTTCCGCGTCTCGCTGCTTTTGCCCATGGCGCACTTCGTGCTGATGCGACAGTGGCGTACGGCCTCGAGTAGCTTCCTTCACTTCGCTGCTTCATTCACTTCGCTGCTTCAGCTGCCATTTCACAATGGAGGTATAAGTCTCCCACTACTCTACTGTACAGTAGAGACTGCTCACATACCCTCCAGGACATTCTTATCGGCGACAGGTATCGTGTTGACCGCAGGATCGGCGCAGGAGGCTTCGGCCTCGTCTATTCCGGTACGCCGCTGTCCCTCGCTGCTCCAACTGTCGCTGACCTGCTAGGAACCGATCTCCAATCGCGCGAGGAGATCGCTATAAAGCTCACACACGTTCGAGATAACCCTGAGGTGCTCCGAGGCGAGATGAAGACATACGAGGCGCTGTCCGGGGCGGTCGGCATTCCACAAGTACGGTGGTTCGGGCAGGAATGCGATTACTACGCGCTTGTCCATGACCTCCTTGGTCCATCGCTCGAACATTTATTCAACTATTGCGGCCGAAAGTTTTCGCTCAAGACCATCCTCATCGCCGACCAGGCCGTCTCCCGAATCCAATACATCCATCCACTCGAAGGACTTCCTCCATCGCGACATCAAGCCGGACAACTTTTTGATGGGGACCGGCAAGCAGGGAAACACCCTCTACACCATTGATTTTGGCCTCGCCAAGGAGTTCTCCGATGCTGAGCGTTGCAAGAATGCGGAGGGTCTCCCGCTAGGCGGTACCACACGGTACGCGAGCATCAACAACCACAACGGCCGCCGTAAGTACCCAATTGCAATCCCATCTGTTTATTCGCTGAATCGCGGGAAGAACAGTCTTGGGGGGACGACCTAGAGTCCCTCGGATACATCTTCGTGTATTTCGCCCGCGGCTCTTTGCCGTGGCAGGGCCTGAAGGCCGCAGCGGACGAGAAGGAGAAAAAGATCAAGGAGATGAAGGAGAGTCTATCTGGCGAAGCGCTCTGTGACGGCTTTCTCCCCAGAGAATTCGCCACGTACATCGACTACACCCGGTCCCTAGGTTTCCACGACAGGCCCGACTATTCATACCTTCGGGGGCTCTTCCGTCGTCTGTTCCACGCCAAGGGGTTCAAGCACGACAATGTCTTCGACTGGAAGGAGAAACGGTTCTACGAGATACAGAGCAAAGTCAACAGCACAGTGCCTTTGTCACAAAAGAAGCTACGGAAACAAGCGGTTCGAACGCCTTTGACGCAGAAGAGGCCACAGAGGCGAGCAGCCCAACACCGAAAAAAGCCCCAGAGAGGTCGGCGACCGTGAGGTCGGTGCAGCAGGTGCAGCACGGCAAAACTTCGGCGCGTTCAGTCCAAGACAAAGTGCACGTACCGTGTCAGAAACGAAATGGCAGGCTCAGGTGCGCCTCCGTAGGGTTACCCCCCGCTCTCTACCACTCCATAGCGGTTGGGAGAATGCAGGGGTGGGAGGAAGGAGGGCACACCGGTGAGCATCGGGAGGGGAGGAGCGTCATAAATGGGACATCCTATAGAGCTTGTGTGTCAGGGAGGGATGGGGGATAGACAGACACCTGAATCAGGTCTATCAATAACTGGGTCGAGATGGTGTTGGCTGATATGGACCGCGTAGCAGATAGGCTCCCAATCTGCCAAGCCGGGTTAGCTGTACTTGCGACGCGCACGCTTCTCTGTCAGTTTTCACCGAGCGAGCTGGCGGTTCAAGCGTCGGAGGGCTTGACGAGCCCCTTTCTGCTACTCTTCCTGCTGCTCTCTCTGGTTGCTGACTTTGGCCCTCGTCTCGGATAGCAAAACTTTTCGTCAGTACAAATCTCCGGTCCTGCGTCCGACAAGGCGCCCCTTTCTGCACACGTCACAAACAGCACCAAGATGAACTCACCCAGCTGTGACGATAAGCTCAATGTCAATGGAAACAGAACGGGTGCAAGCGACAAGTTGTTCATCAGATTGGGCTTTGCTGTCGAAAAGAAAGAAGACGCGCCGCCATCCGCCGCAGGTAACATTGGGCAGACCCTGGAGCAGGTTTTATGATAAGATTGGGACCTTGTCTTGCCCTAGTTGGTGCAAAGAAGGCCCGGCGGGATGGATATGTGATCGTGACTGAGATAGCCAAAACTGAGAGGACCAGCTCCCGAGTCATCTCTCTCTGGGCGATCAACGGCAACATGTCTTCAAGTGGTATTCAATACAGCTAGCTGTCTTCTGAATGCTGAATCCCTACGGGCCTTTGACTGTTCAAAAACGGACCACCTTCAGAAATTGTGAGCGGCTTGTCTCAGTCACAACTCAAAACTCATGCGATGAAGCAGTCTGATCGGATGCGGCATTGAGAGCCATGTTGCTTCGTGAGGGCGGCCCTTTAATTTGGCAACCTGAAATGGACCTCATTCGCTCCGTTTCCAGTTTCAAAGGAAGATTTCCCAAAGTCACCGAAGGTGTGAGCTGCATAAGGCGCCGGTCGGCGTCTTTCGCTCGGGGCCGTTGCCCTGGCAACGGCCCCACATCCCGGCTGGGACCCGGCTGGGACCCGGCCAAGTTTTTCGGGCCCGTCTGACAACCTCCGGACCCCGACCAATTCTCCAGGGACCTGTCACCTTTGTGCTGTTGACATGGACGTGGGACATTCTGGGAGTTGTCTCTTTCAATTTTATAGAAACCTCCCCGCTTAGGCATCATCCCGCCCTCATCTGTTTCCTTGCCTCGCGACGGACCCAAGCCGCAACTTGCCCTTCCCGCCTGAATTCAGCTCGCTTATTTCACCGAAGTCAACACTCAACAAACAAACCCAAACTTACCAAAAATGCAGCTCAGAATGGTCCTTACGGCCACCATGGCCGCTTTTGCCACTGCCCAGGACTTACCAGGACATACCAGACATCAGCGGGATCCCTGCCTGCGCTGTGTGTTTGACTTTGCCCACCGCCAGAAATTGAAAACTGCATAAAAACCACGCACAGGTAACCAACTAGGGACTAACATGAAAACACAAAACAGATCGACTGC